ACGTATGTAACCATGGTTCCCCGAAGGGAATGAGATGCTGCGTCTCAGGGCCATACTTCCGGCATCCCTGCCGGTGCTTGCTTCACTCCTGAAGCTGACGCCGGTTTCATCGCACGTGCTTTTATGCTTCCTGGTCGCTACATCACCCCGCCCGTGACGTCTCGCTCATCCATTGGACTGATTACACATATGATTCAGAGCGTGGTCATGCTGAAGGCGTTCCTGTAGCGTTTAGACGCAGCTCGAGTTCCTGAACGGGAACGTCTCCAGGTTACGTATGTAACCATGGTTCCCCGAAGGGAATGAGATGCTGCGTCTCAGGGCCATACTTCCGGCATCCCTGCCGGTGCTTGCTTCACTCCTGAAGCTGACGCCGGTTTCATCGCACGTGCTTTTATGCTTCCTGGTCGCTACATCACCCCGCCCGTGACGTCTCGCTCATCCATTGGACTGATTACACATATGATTCAGAGCGTGGTCATGCTGAAGGCGTTCCTGTAGCGTTTAGACGCAGCTCGAGTTCCTGAAGGGGAACCATGGTTACATACGTAACCTGGAGACGTTTCCCCTGAGATTCAGAGCCACATTACAGGGGGTAATAAAAATTACTTCAGAAGGATGGCAGCATCATTATGTAATTTTTACACAGAGATTGGTAAATCTGTCAGTAAAATCTGTTGACTTTAGCAATCTTTGTTGCATTGTATGCTAACGGTGACCATTCAAAAATGGGAAATAGCACTTTTCAATTGTTTTTCTCCAAAGTTTGCAGGCCTGTAACTCAAGAAATATTACAGATATCTTAATGGCAAAATAGATTTGGGGTTTTAACAAATATTTCTTTTGGTATCTTCATTTTTAAGGATCTATCTGGTACCATTCCAGCGATATTGAAATCTCAATATGGCTCCTGGAGTAAATTGTTTAATTGTACACATTTAGAATGGTCAAAAACCAAATGTGGGTCACTTTGCACTCAGCTGATACTTTTTCTTTCTCTATGTCTGACACATATCTTGTTTCCCTCCATCAAAACAATAGCATAGAACAGACTCAAGACATATTAAAGATATATCAATATAATTTTAAGTTAACTTAATCAACTTTTCTTTTGTAATCCTCATTTTTAAGATCATATATGGTTCAATCCCAGAAATATGGGGAGCCCATTACTACTACTAGTGGTAGGAATTTTAATCCATGGCAGTGATGCTAAAAAGATTTGTTCACTAGTTTGTTCTTCTGCTGGCTACATTGTTTCACAAGTTGGCTGCATCATAATCATTCTCATTAAATCCACACTGAATGAACTCCTCTGTAAAGTTGCATTATTGTTGGAATTCAAGGCTTAATCAAATAAATAGATAAATAAATAAATACATACATACATACAAACAATACAGAAATGCACATCCAAAACCAAAAGCTGTAATTTCAGTGTATGGACATGTATCTTTTTTTACTATAGATTACTATTGCAATAATGTGCACTGACGAATTGTGCACAATTAGACAAAGAACATGAATTAAGCAAGTAAAAACGGGCCAATTTTGATTTCATTGATCGCATTGCATTTTGTTTGATTTCACAGTTTGTTGAGCATTAAATCAACTCAACAAACCATAAATATCATAGCAGAAGAGCAGCATGCATTCTCTCCGAGATATACAGATGTATGAATGCCATTGTATTAGATGACAAAATATCAAGTCCAAACTATAGCGGACATTTTCTCAGAATTAACTTTTACTTAGTATTTTTCTAAATACATTTAGACTTTTCAACATCATTGTGTGAAATGTTTTACATGTAAAGTGTGCTTGCGTTATCCTTCTTAAAAATAAATGCCACTTGTTTTGATATGTTGTTATCCAATATAATGCAATGACATTTATACATTTCTAAGTGTGCCTCAGCTGTCCAGATATATTTTGGGGCCACTGCCCATGTTAAGCACACATAGATTCATAGTTGCGTTCCACATGTGTGTGTATCTGAAGCTGAAAGCTAACGGACAGCACTAGGCCTGTAGCAATAATCAATATATCGACTTATCGCGCAATATATGTACATGACATCAATAATTTTTGGTGACGCAATATATCGCCTGTAGCGTCTGGACCACTCAAACACACAATATATATTTTGTTAGCTAGATTTAACAAATACTCTGTAACACCCCAGGAAGCTGAACAGGCCCCTGGTTCCATAGCAATGCTGACATCCGATACATTTACGACCTCCTGGAATTTAGGTGAAGAAAATAGCTTCCTTGCCCATAAGGAAAATCCACAAGGGAAGGACTTTTCTTTGCTAATTAATTAATAGGAAAACCTTTCTTTGAATGAACACACATGATCCTTCAGGTCATTGGGTATATTATTGTCATTGTGTATTTTGTCTTTGAAATTGTATACTGTGATTCAGGCTTATAATCGAAACACACTCCTGTCATCCTTTCACTATATGTAATCCTATAACCAGGAAATTAACGTTCTTAGAATTGACAAGACAGTTGACCCTGAGAGGTCAGCTAAATATCTACAGCGGATCTAATATATTCATAATTAATTATAACTAGTTATGGTTAATTATTCATATTTCCCATGAGCTGAGTCACTACAGCCATATATACTCAAAAATTAATGTCACCGTGTTTTTTACATTCCACTTGTGCCTGTGTCTTTTGCAGCTTCTTGTACATAACGTGTGTAGTTATGAGGTGCTAGTTCAAATTTTAAAAATGCTTCTACAAAAGTTTCATCTGAAGATATGGCCTTGTTTAGGGATAGTGATTGTGTTTTTCAGGAATAGTGTGCATCCTTAATTTACAGAGAAAAGAAGGTCAGGGAAAAATCAGTAGATGGAAAAATCTCCATAAAAGCGCATTTTTCTTTTTTTGTACTTGTTACTTTGCACTTATTGTTAGAAAATGTTTATTTATTCAAGTTTTTTATGGTATCTAATATTTTGATACTTATTTTCCATTATCTAAATATTCTCAAATTAAAAGTTTGTTGTCATTTGGAAGTGTGTAGGCCTTCTTGCATTATTATGCTGTTACATTATGATTATATATTCAGTGGCATAAAATGGTCTTTAAAATGACAAAAATATTGTTTATCGCAATTATTTCTGGGGCAATATATCGCACAACAAAAAGTTGTTATCGTGACAGGCCTAGAAAGCACAGCACAGCACAGCAGAGGAGAGGCGCTCTGAGCAGCTCTGTGTCTCTGTGGGTGTGGGAACCTTTCAGGTGTCTTTCTTTGATGTGGGAGGCACAAGGAATTAAATTCCACACTGATCTTGAAGGTTTTAGAAGTATATAAATAAAGCTCGAGACCCCCAGAGAGAAGCAGCCCAGGGAATCTGATTAGCTGATCAGCCCCTGACCAGATCCTGTCACCAGGACCCACGGCGCTCTGACACCAGCCAGTGCTGCAGGGACCCGAAGGTGTCAGACACACTGAGATAAAAATAAAGCAGCAAGATCACTGTCTTCAAACAGTGTCACTCATTTGCCCCTCATCCACCAACCACACACACATACTCAACCTTATTTTTTGCTGCTTAATAATTATTGTGGAAACCAGTATATATGTATGCATGCATGTGTTTATTCATATTTTGTGATGAAAAAAGTTCAAAAGAATTTTTAATATTTTATAACATTATAAACGTCTTTGTTACTTTTATTTATTTATTTAAATGTTACTTACCCCAGACTTTTGAATGGTAATGTATCACGTTTTTCACAAAAAATTTAGCAGCAAAAACTGTCTTCAACACTGATAACGATAAAATAAATGTTTTTTAAGCATCAAATCAGCATATTAGAATGATTTTGAAGGATCATGCGACACTGAAGACTGGAGTAATGATGCTGAAAATTAGCATTGTTATCACAGAAATAAATTACATTTTAAATATTTAAAATAGAAAACCATTATTTAAAATTGTAACAATATTTAACAATATTACTGTTTTTTCCCCTGTATTTTTGAACAAATAAATGCAGCCCTGGTGAGCAAAAGAGATCTAAATTATTCCAAGCTTTCCAAGGTCACCTGTATTTTTTTTTTACAAATATATAAAAACAGGTGGCCACATCTTGCATGAAATTTATTTAAATGCTTTGATGCAACACACATATTTGAGTTACTCAATTATTTACTTCATTTGTATTCTGCCAATTCATTTTTAGAAACCAGACATTTATTTACTATTATCCTTTTGACATTTTCAGACCATAAACAAAAGTATAAAGACCAACCATGACTGGAATTCAAGCAACACTGGACCCCATTGATATTTACCAGAAGAATGTCACACAGATTTGGAATGACATGAGGCTGAGTAAATGATGACAGTATTTTCATGTTTGGCTAAACTATCCCTTAAAGTTGGACTGCAAATAATATCCAAATAAGACAGAGTTTTCCACATTAAAGTGGAGTAACAGTTTAGTGAGTTCGCCTCTGAGACTTTTTGCTCATATTTGTCTCTAGTTTATATAAAATTAATTGGTGATTGTGTTGTTACGTTGGCGTTCTGCTAAAACTCCCAAGAGTGTGATCGTTTAGAGGCACATTTACCACAAGACAGCATCTCCTGCTTTTCACACTGGGTCTGTCAAGAGTGTCAATATTTATCTAGTTAAATATGCCGCCTGTCAGGAATAAACAGGGAAATGCAGAGACGTTTTCCCCCCACACTCTCAGGGGAAACTAAACACACATAATCAGCCAGTTACTGTCAGGCCAGCAGACACAACACAGATAGACAGACACATAAATAAACACACACCCACCCACAGACAATCTGCTTTTCCTTCCTTTCTGAAAGTCAGGTTAGAAGCCCAGGTCAAACGGAGGCAGAAATTTCGCAGTTCACCTTTAACTTTCTCAACAGCTTATGCCACTCAGCAACGTAAAATTGTGAAGTATTCAGATATGAGAGAACTACACAACAAGAACGCTGAGCTATGGATGAGCCAAGCACTTACACTGAGTCTCAGGATGACGGTTCCAGCGGGGGTGTTTTCTGGGACGTTGACGGTGTAGATGGGCTGGGAAAACACAGGGCTGTTGTCATTGATGTCTGTCACCTCCACCAGCAGTGTGATGGTGGTCCTGCGGGGGTCCACTGCTCCATCTGACGCCTCCACGATCAGATCGTACCAGCTCCGTGTCTCTCGGTCCAACGGAACCGCACTGAAGATGCTGCCCGTGGCGTTTATGGTGAACAGAGACACAAAGGAGAGCAAACGGTATCGGACCTGACCGTTGAGCCCGCCATCAGGATCGGTGGCCTGAAAACAGAGACATGCACTCACGATCATGATTTTTTAAATATAGTATGTTCAACATTTTTTTAGTTATTTAAATCATCTTTTGTTTTGATTTGCATCCATCAAGTTAAGGTGCTACTTTTAAATAATTGCTACTACCTATAAATAATTGCTACTTATAAATAGTTGCTACTACAAATAAATGGATTTCTTATGTCTTATGTCACCAGCGTTGCCAGATTGGGCGGGTTCCCGCTCAATTGGGCGGTTTTGAATTTGATTGTGCGAGTAAAAATTGGCTTGGGCGGGTGGACAAAATTTGGGCTGGTTTGGGGTCAGTTTGGCGGTTTTCAAACATGTAAATTGCATAGGCTAATTGTTTAACAAACAAGCCCAAGTGTGCATGTACTGCATCCAAGCAGTCATCACAACGTTACTAAACACACACACACACACACACTGCAGAGGCTGGTGCTGATGTAAATGTCAACAGCCGCACTTATCACAAGGGCTCAGCAGACAGACGTTATGCTTCATGAATGACAAGCTTTTAGCAAGATAAGTTATAACGTATCTTATTTTGAACGTAGTATGACTGTATTTTCAAGTAATCACAATGCCTAAATATAAGTTAAAGAGTGGGAGAGTGACTCATCTCTCAAAACCTGAATTATTGTGGAGTGAGATGACAAGAAGGCTCTATCATTGCAACTCCGAAATCAGAGCAAATTTGAATTAATCAAAACCGAAATTAAATATCTCGGTTTATGCGATCTTGTCTTTTATATTTTAAACGGTCCAGATTTATAAATCCTTGAAAACAGCTAGACTTGATTAGTTTTGACTGTGCAAAGTTCTGTATTATGTTCTACAATATGAACTTAACAAGAGGCTTCTCTAGTTCTGTGTAAATTTTTAGAATGACACGGAGGTAAGCGCATTATTATTGTTGTTATTTTTTTTTTAATTGTCGGATTATAATTCAGTATGTATCCTATCAATGAATGACACAGTTTTTACTGTCATGGTGTGTGCATGAACGAGTGTGAAATAGCCTACCTGCTTATTACGCTGCTTTTTCCTATCGCTTATATTGGGCAATTTTTGCATTTAAATTGGATTATTCAGACTGCTGACATTGAAAATGATGCATGTGTTGTTTCGAGGGTATTGGTTAATTTCTTGATTGCCGTTTTGACAGTGTCTGCTTGCATATTTTATTCATGTTCGGTAGCCTAATTCTCTTTAATGTAGGCTATTTACCCCGATTTGATCCGTTTACCTGGGAAATTGATCTAACGTTAAATTTCATATTATTTTGTTGTCATTATTTTGTTTTAAGGAGTTAAAAATGGCCCTTATCAACCTTGATTTACATATCCCATCACATTATTTTCACAGTTTGACAGGGTTTTTGTGAGCTTTTGGGCTGGAAATCGTCCATCCAATCTGGCAACACTGGCGCTCACATTCTCCCTCTTCACTGCTTGCTGTCGCCGTTTAAAAGTTATGTCTAATGTGGATAGAAGTCTGTCTAATAATCAGAGAGAACTGTTAAACAAAGGAATTAAACGGTATACAGAAAAGTATTATAACGATTGCTTTTATATTATTAGTAATAGAAAGGCAAACATTATAATACTTTCTCGTTTACCATCAGCATTTAGCAAATACACATTTATATAATTTAAACAAATCTTTGAATGTCCAATAAACATTTAATTTCACTTACTTAGTCGAATGCAGCTGTGAGATCTTGTGAAGTGTGAATTTGTATCCTGCATGATTGTGTTTACTCTGCGTGACAGTCAGTTCATGCACATTGAATGCGGACAGGAGGAGAGTTCAGCTTCACTGGAGATGCGCGATCGACAAACTTTAAAATCGTGATTTCAAACTATGCTGGGCTCTATTCAAATGCCCACTGTCATATTTATGTCATTTTCACTCTGTGCTGTATGTCAAATGAGTGTTACCTTGGCTTTATTTGAAAAAATATGATTCCCAATGCGCACAAACTTCTCAGATTACTGAGTGCCCTGTTGGTTATTGTTTACTTCCTTTTTACTTATATATTTGTAAATATTTATTTATTTGTGAAAAATACTGTAACAGGATTACAGAATCAAGTTGTTATCTAAAGTATAAGTAATGTTTATTTTACACATTTATTTGTATAATTATTTTTCTAATTATTTCAAATTTCTTAAATATAAATATATAATTAAAATTATATTAACATATATATATATAAGTTTTTGACTGCATCGACTTGTCGGTCGACCACTAATTATGATATAAAATTATTCAAATCGTGATATACAATTTTGGTTTCACCTTTACCAAGCATCCAGCGCAGCCTTTACAATGGATAAATAAATAAATAAACAAACAAATAAATAACATTTAAATAATCACTGGCAGTCCTTTAGGGCAAAGAAATAAAGACTTGCTGAACTAATCTTAATTCCTGCATGGTTACAGCAGCTCATTTGTATGTGTGCATGGGAGCAGTGCTCGGCTGTAATGGCTTCAGAGGTGCCTGCTATAATTCCTTTCTGTAGTAATTACAGATGCAGATGGGAAGAATAACTGGGGGGGATAAACTTATTAGACAAGCAAGCCGGGTTAGCGACATGAATGAAACAGACTCCATGAGAAGAGAGGGGGAGAGATAAGAGGAGGGACAGGAAGATGAGGGGGATGAAGGGCCAAAATCCAAATGCGGGCGAATGGAAATAAGTGAAATGAAAAGAGCATGTCTGAGCCTTGAGAAATTACAGCCACATCCGAGTGCTGAAGAATGAAAGTGCTGCCCACGGCCCTCTCACCAGCAGCACTCATCAAACGTCCTGACAGCACACGTACATGCCAGCTGCTCGCCTCAATAATTAACTAATGGATTGAAAACGTAAACAGAGTGATAAATAAACAAACAACACTTCACAATACGTAACTAAAAACCTGTTTCCTAACGTCACTGTTGACTGCTATTCAGTATCAGGAAACATTTCACCAATTTTTGGTGAATTTTTTTGACACTTTTTGCCTTCACTAGATCATTTTTAAAAGTACATTTAGACCATATACAGGCAATGTATTTATTTATTTATATAATATATATATATAATTATAAAAAAAAAACACACACACACACACACACACACACACACACACACACACACACACACGTCAACAATTCTGTGTTTTTCTGTCAATATGGGGTGCTGTGTGTACATTAATGAGGAAAAAAATTAACTTAAATGATTTTAGCAAATGGCTGCAATATAACAAAGAGTGAAAAATTTAAGGGGGTCTGAATACTTTCCGTACCCACTGTATATATATATATATATATATAACAAAAACCTTGATTTGTTGGCAAAATAAAATTGTCCCCAGAGTGAACATGTCTTCAAAGCTAATTGTTTTATTGAAGCCTTGTTTGAAGCTCTCAGTGTGAATAGTATCTTAAGGCTTTTGGACACGTTAGCCTGTGGCAAACAACATGGCTGTAAGTGTCTGTAGAGCGGAAACACACTGATGTGCATTTGTGATGTGTGAAGTGTTTGTATGTGTATGCTTGTTTGTTGTCACAGCACAATAAGAATCCAGGTGGTTTTGATCTCCACAGGGATCTGTGTGTGAATTTGAGAGTGAGGCCTCAAAGTTTGGTGAGCACCTGATGTTGTGAACATGGCAGACAACACAGAACATGAGAGGATGATGAAATAAAAAGAAAGATGATGGAAAGAGAGAGAACAGCTCATAGGGAGGGATGCATCTTGAGCAATGTCCAAGAAACAAATTTTTCGTTGTTTAGTAGTTACTTCATGAAAACAATCTCATGTCATATGAGGTCAGCATGCACTAAATTATTTAAATCACAATTTTACTCAAGCATGAAGGCACCGTTGGGTCACCTCACTCCTGTCAATCACATTGACACCAAACTCAGTGATCAAGACATCACAGAACAACAAATGAGCGGTAAAGAGCCTCATAATGACAACACGGCATTGTGAATGAAAGCTTAACGCATCTTTCATTGATTATCTTTCTTACCAACCAAAGCATGATTAATCAAACACGCTAATTAAAAATCTAACCACTTGGCAGGGCGGAACAGAAGCAGTCATAAGGGACTGACTGTAAGGTGACTAATGACTCTAATTTACCATGACTTAATTAGGGAACAATAGAAAGTGATGTCTGAAGATCTGTGCGGCACGACAGTTAAAGGGGCGGCAGGTGTAAACCTCACGGGACCCTCAGAAGCTAAAAATCTCACCAAAACTAAAGATACTTTACTTATTTTGTCATGGAACTTACCCTGACTTGACCCACGAGCACATTGGCCTCTTCCTCCCTCACGGTCAGATTTCTGGGAAGAGTGAGGTCGAAGGTGGGGTCGTTGTCATTAACATCCGTGATGACAATGCTGACAGTGGCTGTGGAAATCTACAAATATATACAGATTAATTCAATATCAACAGGAATTAAATATATAAGAATGGCAAGTTACCGGATCAACATTCTTGTTGGTCCTGAAACAAAATGATTTTGCTATCTTATAAATCTGTAATTATGAAGGATGAAGATGAAGGTCTTTGCAGAAAATTTAGGGAGGAATTGTTAGTTTGTTTGTGCCTATAAACCTATAAAAAGCACAGCCCTGACAGATCTGAACCCTGGAGTTCAGTGTGCACTTGCTGTCAAACCCTGAACCTTTCACATTATTCATTCTGACATTCACCCTGCTGCTGTCTGTCAGTCTTTCTTTTTTTTGCCTTTTTAAATATTGAAAATGACTTCTCTAGGAATACCATTCACCATTTAGTTTCTGACTCTATTCCAGAAACACATTTACAGAGATGTAATTAAATCATAAGCAATTGAGTTCCTGGGGCTTAAAAGTTTAATAGCACACAGTGATGAATATAAATTCAACCGATCAGTCAAGATCAGCATGTAGAGTTTAAATCCCAGTGGGATGTGCATGAAAAATTAATTCACCAAAAAAAAAACGAGGGAAGGAAAGAAAAAAAAAAAATTCTGGAAAGGGAATTATATATTCATATATGGAGTTGTTGTTTGGCAAAAACATGTTCAGGTGCACTACAAAATTATGTTTTTCTTTTTCTTTACATTTCTGTCAAGAGGCATCAACACCATCAAATACGCACACATAAACACTGACTGAAAGACAAGTGCGAAACTAATGTGCTGAACCCCACTGAAGCCTGTTTGATCTCAAAAACGTTGCACTAGCTCACTGAATTCAAGCTGCACTGAATATTTCATTAGATATCATTATCATGTTTTAAGAGGTGAAGGTCAGGTAAATTACTTTGATTAATTAACCTCTTTGCACTTTCCATGACCATGATCTGGAATGGAAATGATTTAATGGACTTGTTAGACAAGATGAAAGTCATTTTGCCCAGTCATGTTGTGCAGGGAAAGAGTAAGGCACGTCCTTCTGTCTCAAAATGCTTTTTACATGCCTGTCTTTCTTGAAAACTCCCTCCTCATCAGCTCTACAGATATCAGGCTGTGTTTGATAAATGAGCTTCATGCAGTCATTTAGCACTCCAGCGTTTCTGTTTGCTAAAATTCTTTCATTAGAGAAGCTAAGCTGATAATACAAGTGAATGTTCTTTTAAAAAAGGTGAATGTGTTTAAACAGAATGTGCACTGAGTCTCATTACAGAACATCCCTGAGGAGTTTTTGGCAGTAATGACTATGCAAAAGGAATAAATTAATTAATACCAAATGATATAGAAATACAGTTTTCCAGCTATGTTTGTGTAGCTACTTTGCACTTTTGTGTAGACACTGTATGCATTTAAAGCAACATGAATATGTGCCATAAAACCTATTATATGAAAGATATGAAAAGAGGGTGTGAAGAGATCAGACGTTTGAATCAGAGCGGCCATCAGTCAGTGTTATAGTGCTGATATTGTGGGATGGGTGCAGTCTCACCCCTCCTGGGTGGCCGTCAGATGCCGTGACGATGAGGCGATACTGGTCGATGGTCTCTCTGTCCAGAGGTTTGGCCAGCAGCAGAAGACCTATACTGAACAGACACAAAACATGTTAATTAAATTTCTTATTTAACTGCTTGCCTCAGTCTAAATATTTTCATCTCATAATTCTTTTAAGCTTTATTTTCTGCCATATAAAAAAAAGTACACAGAGACAAACTGGGAAGGGACGTAGAAAAAAAATTAATGAAATAATTGTTTCAGCTGCATACCCTCAGAAACCAACTACTGCCTTGATCAATATAAGCAAAGACCCTCACTGTACATATTATAGTATTGATTTTTTTCTTAATTATGCCTTTACAATTGTCTATTTTTATATTGAGGACAGTGATTAATCTCGTAATCTAAATTAAATGAGCATTTTAACCAAACTTTATTCAGTCATTCACTCCTCTTTGTTGTTTCAAAACCTCTATGATTCTTTTCTTCAAACACAATGAATGGTGAAACATATACTATACATACTCCAAGATGAGTCACATCAGTGATGTCAAACTTCATTGGGTCTCATAACCCAATCATAATGCACCAAATTTGAATATGCTAATTTTCAAATTGCACAAATTAGATTTGAGGGCACTATTTTCAGTGCACAATATATGTTCCATATATAAAGCTATTGCAGATATTCAGAGTTATGAATCATACAGGATATTTTTTATATGAATAATACAGGATATTTTTATGACACTTCTAACATGCTTTTTGACATTTTTTTTTAATCTTGTCATTTTTATATTTAAAGCAAGGTTTTTGAGCAGTGTAGAGTAGGGCTTGTTGTTTGTAATTTCTCTGATCACAAATGCAGACATGGTTTTATGTTTACGCGGCGAGATGCAACGCAACACGTAAAAAGACAGTATAAGTCATTATAATTCATAATTATGTCCCCACTGGATGCAACGAATGCCTCGTTTATAATGGGTTTTCATGTTTTTGAATCATCGTTCCGGCCTGACAGGGCATCATCACAGTATGGTAAGGGGTGTAACATTTCCATCACATGCTTGAGGTATTCGGCCAATCATAACGTGCTAGATAGCTGGCCAATCACAGCACACCTTGCTTTTCAGACCGATGAGCTTTGTAAAAATCTACGCGTTTCAGAAAGGCGGGCATAGAGGAGAAACAATAATGTACAGTATTTGGAAAATAATGTGTTTTTTTAACCTTAAACCGCATAAACACATTTCGTTACACCAAATACACAAAATAATGTTCTTTTTAGCAACATCATATGACGCCTTTAAGTGTCATTAATAAACCAACTATATGATGTTACAATTAGATAAAGCCTTTCAATTTCTCACACAATCTCTCCCACCATCAGAAATGTTCACACTGTAAGCTTGTTTGTGATTTGTCTCGTCTTCATGCCTCCAATGAGGGATTCTCATGCAGAGAGACACAAATGTACAGTGGGGCAAAAAAGTATTTAGTCAGCCACCAATTGTGCACGTTCTCCCACTTAAAAAGATGAGAGAGGCCTGTAATTTTCATCATAGGTATACCTCAACTATGAGAGACAAAATGAGAAAAAAAAAATCCAGAAAATCACATTGTAGGATTTTTAAAGAATGAATTGGTAAATTCCTCGGTAAAATAAGTATTTGGTCACCTACAAACAAGCAAGATTTCTGGCTCTCACAGACCTGTAACTTCTTCTTTTGTATAGACAATATGCAATATATGAACTAGATATTCCCGTCCCTAAACTCAATTGGATGAGTCAGTGTTGCTGTGTTGGGCTGGTCAGAATGCGCAAATAAAGGGAATATTCTGAATGCAATACAGAGTCGGTGTGTTACACTTTTAGTGGAAATGTAGTTTTATAGGATCTGTATATACTTAATTGATTAATTTTGTTTATTAATGAAAACTTACGTTCGTGAAAGGTTGAAAACCTGCTGTGGGTCACCGCTTGCTATCTGATAGGTGATCGGATCCAGCTCACGGTCTGTAGCCTGTGAAAATACACCAGTTCACACTTAATTTATACTAGTAGTTCAGACAAGTACTGGCTGGTGAAAAATAAAATCAATGTAACAAAATCAATTGCAGGATAACAATGCAAAGGCCAAGTCTGATTGAAGGGCATGATGAACAAATGTAGAATCAGTGACATTTTACAACATATATAAATTTAAAACCCTACACCTTTGCTAGATTTTACAGGATATCTGCGGTTATTGATTATGCTGTTTTCTAAGTTTGACAGCTCAATCTGTCTGTGCACCAGAGTTGTCTAAAATCATATACTATTTTAATTACAAAATTATAATTAAGGTATATTGTTTCAAATCATGAAACAGGTTTGTGTTCCTGACTTTTTGATGATGCATATCCTCAGCACAGTTTGCAGTGCAGGCCGCAATATTAATATTACATTTGTTGTCTCTTAGAAATGCACATTTGACAGTAGCTTGAGTTGACAGTAGTAGTAGCTTGAGTTAGGATGCAGATGTAAATTTATGTTCATTAACAAAAACAGTAACATCTGTAAAAATGGTAAAAACCTAATTTTTATATGATAAAATTTAAGTATTCTTTTATTAAAATTAATCATTGGTTTTCTATAGTAGCATATATTTGGATCATGATAAGCACAGTAAACCACACAGATAGTACCTCAACACCATGGTAAAAATGTAGCGATATGGTTTCTAAGTTTTTGCATGAAAAACAGTAGTCTAAATACATTTAGTATAAATTAACAAATGCTACCACTTAATCACAAAAAATACTGTAATTATATTCCATTACTCCTTTAATACATGGTTACATTAATAATATAATAAAATTCAATATGAATATCCCACATTTACAGGTGCATCTCAATAAATTAGAATGTCGTGGAAAAGTTCATTTATTTCAGTAATTCAACTCAAATTGTGAAACTCATGTATTAAATAAATTCAATGCACACAGACTGAAGTAGTTTAAGTCTTTGGTTCTTTTAATTGTGATGATTTTGGCTCACATTTAACAAAAACCCACCAATTCACTATCTCAACAAATTAGAATACTTCATAAGACCAATAAAAAAAAAAAAACATTTTTAGTGAATTGTTGGCCTTCTAGAAAGTATGTTAATTTACTGTACATGTACTCAATACTTGGTAGGGGCTCCTTTTGCTTTAATTACTGCCTCAATTCGGTGTGGCATGGAGGTGATCAGTTTGTGGCACTGCTGAGGTGGTATGGACGCCCAGGTTTCTTTGACAGTGGCCTTCAGCTCATCTGCATTTTTTGGTCTCTTGTTTCTCATTTTCCTCTTGACAATACCCCATAGATTCTCTATGGGGTTCAGGTCTGGTGAGTTTGCTGGCCAGTCAAGCACACCAACACCATGGTCATTTAACCAACTTTTGGTGCTTTTGGCAGTGTGGGCAGGTGTCAAATCCTGCTGGAAAATGAAATCAGCATCTTCGAAAAGCTGGACAGCAGAAGGAAGCATGAAGTGCTCCATAATTTCTTGGTAAACGGGTGCAGTGACGTTGGTTTTCAAAAAACACAATGGACCAACACCAGCAGATGACATTGCACCCCAAATCATCACAGACTGTGGAAACTTAACACTGGACTTCAAGCAACTTGGGCTATGAGCTTCTCCACCCTTCCTCCAGACTCTAGGACCTTGGTTTCCAAACGAAATACAAAACTTGCTCTCATCTGAAAAGAGGACTTGGGACCACTGGGCAACAGTCCAATTCTTCTTCTCCTTAGCATGGCAAACAAAGTAAATTTTACATGATAAATAATGGTTAAACGATTGCAGAAATATTATTCATTTAAAGGGTTTAAAGTGTAGTCTTGTTGAACATTAACAGAATGAACAGAAATCACACAGAACAGAATGAAATGTTATCATTTCATATTATGTAAATGAGTAAACTTCATTTAATAATGCAATTGAAAACATAATGCCATTGATATGACAACTGAATACAATAATAAAATGTTAGTGCCGTGATTTCAATATTCATAAGGATTAATTTTTAAATCTGTAAAGTTGTTCATATGTACATAATTTATATTTTAGGTGTCATCAATATTGAACGTTTAAATGCTGTAAATATGTCAGTATTTTTATGTTTTAGTGTCTGTGCAAACGTAAGTAAATGTACGTTTTGTAGATCCACATTTTACGTAAAATACATACAAATTCTAATGAGATCACATTGGAATGGCTTACAACATACTACTACTTCAGCAGTATCTTTACTGTGCATTCAGTAGTATGCTAATTTTCTGCATGCACAGAATACCCAGATGACCTACTACATTTATCAAAATGTGCAGTATACAAAAGGCCGTACTGCGTTGGATACTGCATCCCACAATGCAATGCATTCAGCTTGACCTTCTATTTCCAGTGTATCTGCCAACATCTTTTTTTGGCTCATAATTTGATCAGACTGCAAAGGCTTAAGACCAGGCTTCCAACACCTATTGACCCATGCATTTTCAAGACTTTTTCAGTCATCCGTGATTACTGGATAAGGATTTCTGCAAATAATTTAATAGAGATTGCACACAAAATGAAAAGTCAGTTAAATTTAAAACAATAATAATGATAAAAAAAATAGAAACCATAGCTAAAAATATTAAAATATATAAAATACTAAATATATTATTAAAATAAATATAAATTTTAAATTTAAATGAAATATAATATTAATATAACACACACTAAAAACTATATATGTGTGTGTGTGTGTGTGTGTTTAGTAGGTAGTTTTTAGTGTACAGTATACTGTGCAGTGTGCAGTAAGCAGTAGGCTAATATTCCATTCCAAGTCAAAACTATGTGTGTACCTGCAGATTTAACAGTATGGCTCCTATCCTCATGGCCTCACTGATCTCCAGGTTGTAGGTCTGTATGGGGAATCGTGGTGGACTCTGATTGTTGGGTGGCAGAACCTCTATATAGACCGTAGTTATGGAGCTCCTATATGCAGAGTAACAAAGAAAATAAAAGACCAAAGACACAAGCCGACAAAACAGAGATATAACTGATGTAATGCAGTCACATCTGACCTCCTCTCGGGGTCGGGAGCATTGTCTGACGCTCTGACGGTCAGTGCGTAGGAACGGCCGACGCTCAGCGTGACCCCTGGTGCTAACGTGATTCGTCCTGTGCGGTTGTTGATGATGAAATCGCCTTGATCTCCAGCCAGGATGATGTATGTGATGAGGCCGTTTAAACCAGCGTCAGCGTCCTGAGCCGTCAGCTGACAGAAGAAACAGAGACATTATTATTTTAAGCCACTTTCTTCTATTTCACACTGATCTTCATTATCTGTATGTCACAACAGTTTGGTATTACTCTTCCAAAAAGTGCTGTTATAATGTACTCGGATTTGAATATATTTTGGTATTTAATAATCTTTAGGTTAACTGATTTTAAAGAGAATGCACACACAAATAGCAATTTCAAATCAATGAAATTGTTTAGAACAACAATACAAAATTAACTAGAAACAAAAACTACAAGCAATGACTAAAAAATTATTATATTACATAAAATATTCTATTAAATACATATTCTATATAATTAAATAATCAATAATCACATTTCGTTGCTTTGCAGCCTGAAATGAAGATGGACAGATATGATCTGGTTCCTTTTTAAAAAAGTTGCTTAATTGCCTGCTATACTTTATGTTCATTTAGCTGAATGACTGTTTGCTTCATTTTCCACTTATTTCTTCAGAAAAAAAATCCAGACGCTGTTGAGTCACATTAAATAATTTGACTACAATCTTAAGTTAATAATGAAACAAACATAGTGCCGAGTTCATTTCACACTCCAAATCACATTTAGAGTTCTCAACAAACACTCCACTATGAATAAATTATTCATAAATGGCTTCTCATAAGCAAAGTGAGTGTTTCTGAGCTGTAGTGCTGTGTCCTCACCTGCAGGACGGTCTCTCCGGGTAGCATATTAGTGAAGATCTCCACACTGTAGGACACCAGACTGAAAGTGGGCGTGTTGTCATTCGCATCGATGACCAGGATGTCCACCATCACGGGTCTGCTCTGTTGAACGCCATCAGATGCCACCAACTTTGGGGGAAAATAAATAAATAAATAATTTCTATATGAATATATATATGTATATATATGTCTGATGTATAAATATTTGACATTATATATACTGTATATATAGGGCTGGTAAGTGATTACATTTTTTATCTAATTAATTACATGATGTGGCAATTAATTAATATAATTAATCTCAAATTAATTACACATCAAATATGCCATGAAAAGTCATGGTTGTGTAAAGCATCAAACAGACATTACACAAAGTAGCTTTGGAAAGAAATATTTTGTTTGATTCAACATAAAATGTATAACATATACTCTTTTGGACCATGAGGGTGAGTAAATGATGACAACATTTTTGGGTGGGTGAACTACTTTTAATAATTTATTATTATTATTATTACTATGGAAATATTATTTATTTAATGAAATGATACTGAAAAAAAAAACTAAAACTGCCAGTAGCTGGTGGTAAATGTCTTAATGATTAAGTCATTGAGTCATTTATTCATTCATTTGATTCGTTCAAATGTCTGATTCATTCAGGAGTGAAGTAAATGGTTCTCTTTATGAATGGTCCATTGAATTATTAGGCTTGTTCGACTTGAAGCGGATCATCACCATCAGATCGTTCGGTGTATGACATCAAAGTACCGCAAGAGCGATTAGAGAGCAGACGACTCTGCATGCTTTTGAATCGCTCTTGCGGGATTTTGATGTTGTACACCGATCGATCTGTGCAGCACCGCTTCAGATCCAACGCGCCTAATGATTCACCCAGTTCGTTCAAAATGTGCATTAAGAAATGAAATGCAGCTGCGTGTTGCTCGGAGACGAACAGTTCTGCATTGTCTTTACATTTTCCTTGGCAAAATTGAGCAAAACAGACAACACTGTGTCTAAAATAACACAATATTAACTTCTTATTTATTGAACTGTTGTATAAGATCAGTATCACATTTGCACTCGTGTGATATTGCACTTATTGCTCGTGTGATATTGCTTAACTAGGCTATATGATGTAAATATGAGACAAAAACTCAAACAGGGGCATTTTTGCCCCATATCTTGAATTTTAGGGACATTTTAACTACGTTCTCTAGGCTCCATCATGCAGTGAGTTGTTGCCCTGCATCATATCTGTAATCAATCAACTGTATGAAATGTCAGATGACCCACGTAGGTCTGGGACGAGGCAAGTGCGTTAAATGCGTTAATAATTTTAACGCGTTATTTTTCACCGTAATTAATTAATCTAATTAACACGATTACCAGCCCTAATATATATATATATATATATATATAT